ATTTGGTTCTATTAGATATATTCCATTATTATATATATTTATATTACTCCACATTAAATTTGGATTACTTCCTGAATAACTAATACCAGGATAAAATAAATTATTAAGATTACAATATAAATAAACACATATTGGTTTAGTTGTTATTGATGATAAATTACTATTTGATGTAAAATTCTTTGGTAAATATAAACTGAAATAATTAAAACAATAATATCCATCACCCCATAAATAACCAACTGTATCTGGTATTATTATTATTGGATGCTCATTTATATTAAATAGATTTTGTACTGTTGTATATATTTTTCCATTCAACATACTTCCACCACTAACTTGTTCAATAACTTTATAAATTTCATTATTAATAATTACATATGGAACTACTTTTACTATTCTATTTGTTGTTAAGAATTCTGTAACATTATCAATTTTTATTCTAAAATATGCAGTTTTATCAGTTTCTGATTTAATAGAATAAGTAACATTTTTATATGTTGTTGTGTCTTGGGAAATTATATGTGGATATGGATATATTATTTTTGGAGTTGGTATTGAAGCTATTTTTGTATCTGTGTACGCATTACAATTAGAACCAACATTGTCGCTGTACGCATTACATGATGAGGCAATCATATCTGAATATGTATTACATACTAATGCTACATTATCACTATAACTTTTAGATTTATTATAATATGTTAATATTTCAGAATTTACATAATCAGTAGAAGAAATATCTTTTGTATTTATACTTACTGTTCCATCTATGCTTGTAATTTTATCAGTTTTAATTTCATTTGATGTTATTGTAGAAGGATTAAAATATGATGTGCAAAAAACACTATTTTTACTTTTATCTTGATAAGCTGTTGAAAATACTTCCATTTTTTATAAATAAAAAATGTTTAAACTTCTTTAGAAGTTGTTCCATTTATTACTAAAAATAAATGCTTATACTTCTTTATTACTAAAAATATAAATATACAATTCAATATAGTTTACTTGAACATAGTATCTAAATCAACATTAGTGAGTAATTCAACTTTATTTGGTGTTAAAGACCACATAGCATCATTTAATAAAATAATATTAATTGCATTAGTATTTAAATTACTACCATCTGGTTTGATATATGGATTATCTATTCCATACATAGGTGTTGCTTGTAATGTTAATTGAATATTCGAAGTACTATATATACCATCAAAGAAACATCCAGATCCATATCTTTCTAAAGGAATTGACATCATAAAATCAGTAGCATCTTCTAAATATTTTTTTTCGTTTATTTAATAAAGATGAATCATATTCATTAAAAGTAAGTGAATTAATAAATGATTTAGGTGATGCGAATAATGTATCAAAATTAGTATTTGCAACTTGGAATTCAACAAATTCACTACTTAATGAATCCATTTGTTGATCAGGAATAGTTCTATTAGCAGTTATAACCTTAATATCAGAAATATGTGGATTCTTAGATACGGTACATTGATTAGATGTTCTTGGGAATAAGAAGAATAACATACTAGTATTTAAATATGACATCATATTTGAACAATTAATCTTAGATGGTGTTTGATTTGGTGGAAAATCATATTCAGTTGTTATTTGAGCTGGAACATATAATGGTTGTTTACTATATCTATCATATAATTCTCTTAAAACTGAATCCTTAACATTAAATCCATTAATAACAGATTGAAATAATGTACAAGTAGATTCCATAACTTGAATTGTACCATCAAATTGACTAAATGTTGAAGTAGAATCAACTTTACAATAACATAACATCATTGCCTTATCACCACATTGAGTAAATTCTTTAGTTAAGCCTTTCTTGAAAGCAGCTAACATTGTAATTTGAGAATCTGAGTTATGATTCTCATTATATTCAGTTATTAACACATCTGGATCAACTTGACAGAATACAAAGTTTTGAGTAATTCTTTGCTTAATATCAAGTTCAAATTCATTAAATATAGCATTTGGATAACTAGTAAAAGATTGTAATGGTAAGAAATTATCTAAAGGAATAATTATTTTCATTTCTACCTCAAATGATGTATTTCTAATAAGATCATCAAGTTTAACAAAACATCCACATACATTACTTTGATGTTTCCAAGCAGATTCCTAAGTTGAATAAACACTTGGTCTTGATAATTTTTCTTGTTGAGTTCTACAATTTGCAGCAATAGTTGTTTCATAAATCATCTTAGTGTTTTCATAATAAGTAGAACCATTTTTCCAATTAATTTTAAGACTATCTAACCATTGTGTTGAATCTTTTAATCCAACAAATACTTGAGCTGCATTTGATTCTTTTTCAATAGTATCGGTTGGAGTCTTTGTAGTTTCTGGAATTAATTTAAGTAATAACTTTATTGTTGCAGATAAATATGATTTATCAATGTTAGTTACATGAAAAGATGGATCTGTAATTTGAATCTTAGAATGAGCTGAAGATTTAAATGGAACTTGTTGTTGATAAGCATTTACAGTTATCATTCTTGCATCATGTACACCATCATTTGCAGTAATTATTTTTTGTTGTTCATCAAAATATTTTAGGATATCACCCCTATTAGCATCTTCTAAAACTGAAGGAATTCTTATGTTAGACATTTATTAAGAGTAAAAATATGAATTTTATAAATATGAAATGAGACATCCTGGATTTTATAAAACACTAAAAAATTTTGCAAATAATATGTTAAATAAAGGTGGACATGTATTAAAGACATATGGAAATATTATGTCAAAAGTTACAAATATAGCTAAACCAATAATAAATTCTGTACCGGTTGTTGGGCCTATGATTGGTAATATTGCTGATAAAAAATTTCAAACATATTCTAAATTTGGTGAAAGAATGATTGATGTTAGTAAAGGATCAGATCCTCTTAAATCGTTAAGTAACTTTGGTCATAATGATATCAAAAATATATGGATCAAGTAAAATTTTAGTTATAAATATATTTTCAATATTGATAATTAATTTTTTATTATATCTTAAATGGTAAAAAGCCCTTTATTCTGGCAAAAATTAAAGAAAGTTAAGGATTTCATTCCTAAAATAGGAAAAGCAGCTGTATGGTTTAATGATAATGTTATAAAACCTATAAAACCATATGCTAAAAATTTAATAGAAGCATATGACACGTCTGGTATAGGAAATAAGATGTTAGATTTTAGTAGTGACTTAATAGAACAATACAAAACTAATAAAAAAGTTAATGTACAAGATACAACTTCTTATTCTAATAAATTTGTTGATCAATTAATGAATACTCAACGTAGTGATAAAGATAAGAAGAGTTTTAAATGGTTTTAAGATTAGACATGAAACATTAATTAAATTCATATTAGATAATTTATATTTTTATCATAAGAAATGAGTGTTTATAAATTACAATCAGATGATGCAAAATCATTTGATAATGAATCAGAATTTCTTAAATATTATGATAAAAACAAGAAAGAAATCGATGAAATTAAAACTAAATCATTGAATTTGAGATATAAAATTAATGGTTATAAAATAGGAAGAAGAGATGGAAAAATAATATTATATCCAAATAAGATAGAAGATACTAATGATACTAAAAATAATATAGAAGAAAGATTAACTACTCTTGAAAATATATTTAGAGATTTTATTAAATCTAATCCACAATTATTTCATTCGTAATAGAATCAAATATAATTTTTTCATATTTTTCGAGTTTATTATAAACTGATTGAAACTCTTCAAATGAGATATTAGTAGTAATTTGATTATAAATATGATGTAGAATTTGTGGAGAAAATGAATTAAATATCCATACTGAAGATAGTATTGATTTTATCTGTGCTGGTATACCTCTCCATATTTGAATAGCTATAAAGAATAAACAATTGGTGTGCCTAGTTTTATATAATGATTTAGATAATATTGATGATTCATTTTTTAAACAATTAACAGCATCATCTAAAACAATAATTGTTTCTAATGGTTTATCACTAAATTTATCTAAATATAAACACTCTAATATAGATTCATCTTTAGGTATTTCTTTTCTAATCATTTTATTATAAGTTTCTTTAATTTCAAGGAATTTAGGATAAGCTTTTTCAAATTGATCATATGTAAATTTAATAATTGGAATATTAAGTAAACCCTCATAATGTAATAAAGTTTGATCACTTCCTGTATTATTAACCCAAATAATAAGATGAAAACTATTAGAAACTTTATCTATTTTAATAAGTTCTTTACAAATAGACGTTGTTTTAGAACATCCAGGTTTACCTATTAATAGGTTTATAGATCTATGTTTTACAAAAACTTCTGGATGAATAATATTCATAGTTGTTTCTGATTTATCAGGAGCATATTGATTAATTAATGAATTTACATATTGATTAAGTGACATTTTTAACAAAAATAATAAGCATATTTTTCATATTTATTTAAGGTAATATTTCGATCTCTAAAAATTTAATAGTATTGCCATCTTTATTAGTATATTCAATAAAATCGTTAACTTTAATTTTAAATAATCTTTTTTCACCAGCAAATTTATCTATTTTAGATTTATTTTTAGATTCTAGAATAAATTTAGATATCTTAGAATTTGCAAAATATTTATTATTATCTTTATCAATAAGTAAAAATGATTTTCCAAATTTAGTATTAATTTGTTTAATGCTAAATATTTCATAAGTAGTTAAACGTTCTAATTTATTAATTGGTTGTTGTTGAGTAGTCATATCTTTTTAAGGAATAAAAAAATAAAATATTTATATAATTTTTAAATTATTGATAGAACAATCTAATGGATTTTCATAATTTAATAATTTAACTGTACATATATTCGAAAATTCTGGTAAAAATTGTTGTGCAACTAATCTTCTTAAAGAATGTTTTATAACATGTTTGTTTTCAGATAAATTAACATAAGCATCATATTTTAAACTTGGTCTTAACATAATTTTTATTATTTTATTTTTCTTATTATTTTTAATTTGTCCTAATCTATTTATTGAATATTTTGGATTAATTTTTAAAATTTCAAATTCTTCCAGTGAAGTCATTTTAAAGGGGAAAAATAAAATATTGAATTTATATAATTTTAATAATACTTCAAAAAGTTCTTAGTATAAATTTCGTTATGTCTTTCATCATAATAGAAATCTTCATTATAGAAATGATTTAATATATCTTCATTTTCATCAAATTCATGATATTTAATTAATAAGAATAAATATTCTAAGGCAGATTTATAAATTTTCAATAAATAATGTTTTCTATTAGAATCTTGTTTTATAACATAATTCATAATATCTTTAATATATTGAGAATAGTCATCTTTACCGAAATATAATTTAGAAATTTGATTTTTAGTTATATTAATATATTCTGTATCAGTTATAGTGTTGTAATTTATATATTGTTCTTTATCAGTGTTCATTTTAGGGAAATAAAAAAATGAAAAAATAATTGGAACTCTTAATCCCGAATTTTGTGAAAATTCAGATTACTCGTCCCCTCGTTATTTTAAATTATTAGAAAATATAGATAAAAATAATGTGTGCATAAAATCTACATAATTTATATACTACTTTTGTATATAATTCGTAATAGTAATTAATTCTATCTTTAGAAGTGGTGTTGGCAATGTACGTTCTTAATTATAACAGAGTACTATTTGAAATAAAAAAAACTTATAGCTTTTTTCAACAATTACAACCGTATTGAACTTATACAAAACGAACGCAGCCAGTCTTCTAACGTTATGTGTCTCAAAATTATCTGGAATTTTTTTAGACAATACAGGGGGGCTAAAAAACCGCTTCCGTCTTTTTAACCGCTTCCTATTGATCTAATAGTTATAAATAATATTAATATAATAAAATGTATAGTACTGTTTACCATGAAGGCTGAATATGCCTTGTGGAGACTTTTTCTGTCTGAGGTGGTAATTTGTATCATACTTTTTATTATAATGTTATTAGTTATAACTATTAAATCAATAGGAAGCGGTTAAAAAGACGGAAGCGGTTTTTATACTCCCTGTAATTATTAATATTTTGTGTAATGATTTAAAATAATTTATCTTCTTTTTTGGTTTTTTTACTTTATTTCTTTTGTTTTGATATATATATATAATAAACTTATGATACTGCATACAACAGCGATTGTTTATATGTGTTATTTAAGATTTTTAAACAATACAACAACTTTTACATGGTTTGTTGTTGTATAGTACTCACATTAAAACAATAAAAACATTAGGCTTCGCACCCGAGAATTGTATTATTATAAATTAGTTAATAAAAAAGCCAATAACACGGGAAAAAAACTGACCCATTTTAGCTTTTTCGATACTAATTTTTGATAATAAAAATCTCGGGTGCGAAGCCTAAACAACATACAATTTACAAACATAATTGTTTATTCCATCAAGTTGAACTTCGGTTGATTTCAATTGAATTCTACCTCGATTAACACTTTTTATCAAGTGATATTCGATTGAAGTTCAACAAAAAATGGTTTTCTCCTTTGCTTTGATCTGTTCAATTTATTTTTTTCGTAAATTTAAAATTAGAACGTATACAAATAAACATAATATTTGGCACTTTTGGCACATCTATCTCCTAATCACTTTCCGATTTGGAGATTAATTGGAAAGTTAAAAAATAAATAGAATTTGTTCACTTTTTTAATAAAATTCATATAAAACAGAAAAAAGGAAGCTCCAACTTGTTAAATATTTAAAATCTAACCAAAAATGATTCACGGGCTGCGACACAAACAAAGTCTTTTCAACAACAAATAGTAGTGTTTGTGTTGCGTGTGTTGATTTTGATGCAATTTGTCGAGTCTGTGTGTCAAGCGGTGAGAACAAGTGCAACACTTGCACCAACAAGAAGCACCCAGACGAGATTGGTAAATGTGTTCCATGCGACACACATTGCACAACGGGCTGCATTGTCCAAACTGGTGTTTGTTTGGCCATTGTGTCAACTGCAATTCAAACGAAGTTATTGACGAGTCTGATGGAACAACAAAATGTGAGGCGTGCTCTTCGTTCAACTCAAATTGCAATTTGTGTGCATCAGACCAATCGCATGCGCGTGAGGAATGCAACACAAATTATTACCCGGACACATCAACAGATTTCAAATGCAAAAGGTGTGACGCAACATGTAACGGAAGTTGCAACACGCGAAATGGGTATTGCACGGGGTGCCTGTCAAATTACGTCTTTGTTTCTTCAACAAGTATGACATGCCAAAGTTGCAGAATGTTTGATCTTCATTGTGAGACTTGTTCGCCCGACTTTTCCAGAAAGTGTGTGACCTGTGACAGTGGGTATTACCCGTCAAATGGAATCTGTGTAGCATGTTCGACAACGTGTCAACAAAACGAGTGCAACACAGCAAATGGTATGTGCATGTTATGTATTGATAATTACGTTGTGACTTCACCAATTTCAACAAATTGTATAATGTGCTCTGCATGGAACAAAGATTGTGTGACTTGTGCAACAAATTTCACTCAGAAGTGTGTGAAATGCAAAAATGGTAAATTTGCATCAAATGGAAATTGTATAGATTGTGATTCAACGTGTGGGGGTACCTGCGATGGGGTGAGTGGACATTGTACTGGCTGTACATCAACGTATGTCCCTTCCAACACAAATCTATCTCTGTGTATTTTATGTCAGGCATTTGATTCGAATTGTGAGAGTTGTGTGACTGGTGAAAGAAAGTGCACAAAGTGTTCAACGTTAAACATGTATCCAGACGACACAACACATATGTGTGTATCATGTTCAACAACATGTGGAGGGAGCTGTGATGCAACAAATGGAATATGCACAACATGTCAAGATAACTTTGTTTTCCAATCAACCAAATCACGTGTCTGCGAATCATGTTTAACTTTTGACACACATTGTAATAAATGTTTGTCTGCATTCGAAAGAAGGTGTGTGATGTGTAACACGGGATATTACCCCAATGAAATCGGCCAATGTGTTTAATGTAGCACAATCAACACAAATTATACGAGTTGCAGCCAAACAACAAAGAAGTGCCTGGCGTGCAAAGACTCACAATATTTAGTTTCAAATGGGATTTTGTTCAAATTATGAAGTTGGGACTTACAAAAAGACTGACATGACTTGTGAAAGTTGTAATTTTGCAACTGAGAACTGCAATGCGTGTTCACCAATTTCTGTTGGTGTTTCCAATTGCACCACTTGTATGGCCAACCATGTATTGAATAGTGGAAAGTGTCAATTGTATCCAAGTGGGAAGTATTACAATCAAAATTCGAAGAGCTGTCAAAGTAATGATGTAAACTGTCAAATTCAAGTCGATGAGTCAAAATGTCTTCTATGTAACAGCAACTGTTTTTTGGCGAATGGGGGTTGCCAACAAACAACTCGATGTCAAAACCCTTCCAACACCACAATGTCTTCGTGTGATTGTTAGGACCAGATTTCAGTCAACTCCGATTGTCAAGAAAAATTGACAAACTGCAAACACCAGAAAATTGAAAAGAGATATTCTGTTTGTATTAATTGCAACGACAACTTTACTTTGAATGGAAATGAATGTCAAAGTGCACAACAAAATTTGGAAGTGAGAAATGATATTATTTACAAGTGTGGAGATAGTGTGTATCTCAACATCTCAAACGAATGTGTCGGCTGTGTTTCTCTCCCGGTTTGCCAATTATCAAAGACCAGAATAATACCATTACAATGTCAAACCAATTATATATTTGACACGACAACAAACCAATGTGTTACAGATGATAATTGCCACACAGTAAAATATAGGTTTTGCACCAAATGCACATCTTGTTTAAATTACATATCACAAGGAAGGTGCTCAAAATGTCAAACCACCAACTGTGGTCTCTGTGACAGAAGTACCTGTATGAAGTGTTTGGACGGCTTTGTGAAATACACTGACACTTGGTGTGTATCAAAGAGTGTTATATCAACATGCAAAACATTTAGTTCAGGTGGATGTGTTGTTTGTAGTGAGGGGTATTACCAGACAGACGCAGAGAATGTAGAGAAAAAGTATGATTACCGTGTTCCAATAGAATCCACAACAGTCACAAATTGCAACAGATACGGTGCACAGAATACCAAATGTGTAGAGTGTCTTGATGCATTCAAATTGAAAGGTGGAATTTGTGCTGAGACATTTGATGAAAACAACAAACTCAAAACAGACACAAAAACAGCAACAGAGACATCCTGTCAAATAAGAAACAACAAAAAATGCCAACACTGCGCTGATGGTATTACAACATCAACAACGAGTGTGTTCAATGTGAAAACGACTGTTTAAGTTTTCAACACAACTTATTGCACTTGTTGTTTTTATCTGAGTGCTGACATGTCATGCAAATCACTTGGTGTGTTACAAGAGAGTTGTAAGATTGCACTGCCTGGTGGAAGCGGATGTGCGATCTGTAATAGTATGTATTATCGAGAGGGTATCAGCTGTACGCCATGTGATGAGTCGTGTGCACTTTGTGTGAACAGTTACGAGTGTCTTGCATGCAAAGACGGCTATTTCAACATCCCAAGCGAAGGCAAATTGTGTGAATCAAATACAACGCTTGCAAATTGTGAGCTGTCATCGTCATCTGGATGTGAGAGGTGTGTGTCTGGTCATTTCTTATCAAATTACAAGTGTTATGAATGTTCTCCAAATTGCACATCATGTGAGAGTGAAAGTGTGTGTACAATATGTAACGATTTGGAAAATATGTTGGTTGACTCGCAATGCCTTCATTTCACAAAAGTTGAATTATGTGTGTCAGCTTTAAATTCAAAGTGTGTAAAGTGTGAGGGTCGACGAGAACTTACAGACTCCGGTGACAGTTGCACAAAGTTGGTCAATCTTGGTGTTGTGATTGGCATCCCAATTACTGTTTTAATACTTTTTGTACTCTTCATAACAATGAACATTTTGTTAATCATTATTTTTCTTAACAAACGCCAAGTGGAAAAGATGAAAAATGTCCGTGTTTTTGATATTAAGAAATCGAACATAACAATGAATCCACTCGACAAAGTGTCGTGTTCCAATAAGAAAGTATTAAAAATTGACATGGATTCAGACGCTCTTATTCCAATGGATGAAGAATCGTGCGACTTGATATGTATTGGAAACCTCACCAAACACCATTTAAAAGTGTAACAGAAGGGTGTGACTGTTATGAAATACGAACAGTGCCTTCAATAGTAACACTAAAGAAAGGAGAAGCATGTGAATTTGAGATATTTATTAAGCTGTTGTAAAAAGAGGAACATTTTGTAGTTATCTGTCTTAACCTAACAACAAATGAACAAAACAATCACAAACTTCAAGCAGTTGTTTGTACTGCAAATTTGACAAAATTGAATAATAAAGAACTTGACGAAATAAAGCTAATAGGCGAAGGGTCTTTTGGAATGGTATACAAAGGCACATTCAGAGGAAAAGAAGTTCCAATTAAAAAGATGAAACACATACAAAAGATGAGTCAACTTCTGAATGATTTTGAAAATGAAGTGAATATGTTGGACAAGTTTAGAAGTGAGTATATCATCCACTTCTATGGCGCTTGTTTTATTCCAAACCACATATGCACGGTCACCGAATTTGCTTTGTTTGGGTCTTTACAAGATTTGATGAAACACAAAAAGTCTGATCAAATTGGTTTGAAAATTAAAATGAAAACCATAATAAATGCTTCCAAAGGAATTTTGTATTTACATGAAAATGGCATTTTACATAGAGACATTAAACGTACATACTCGTCGTTTCCTTGGAAAATAGAATGAATGTCAATGGAAAGTTGACTGACTCAGGAAGAAGTAGAAACATCAATTTACTCACAACTAACATGACTTTCACAATGGGTATCGGAACACCAAAATACATGACACAAGAAATCTCGAATAAACAATAAAATAAGAAGCCAGCTGATGTCCACTCGTTGGCTGTGACATAGTTTGAGACTTTGATATGGTGAGAAGTGTATACTGCCGATGAGTTCAAATTTCCATGGAGCATCTCCAATTTTGTAGCTTCTGGAAAACGGCTTTCAATCAGAGAAGGATTTAGCCCAGAAGCTTATAATGTTATTTCAGAAATGTGGACACAGAAACCCGAAGACCGACCAACCGCAGATGTTGTGGTGGTTTTTACAAAAGTTGCAATGAAATAATTAAAAATGGTTTTTATAATTATAAACTGGAAATAAAAAGTGTGTACCATTTTTAATCAATTTGTTTATTTTAGAGTATTTTCCCGATATTTATTAAGATTCAAATCTATTTTTCATAATTTTTATTTCGAAGTACACACTTTTATAACAACCAAAATCAATTCAAAAATAGAATCATCTAATAATGTGGGAATTATGCAACAGTTAAGCTGAATTACCCAAATTTTATACGTTCCACACGACAAACCTTATTAACTTTAATAATTAAAGTTTGTCACCAATAAACCCACCTTTTGATTTCAAACACAATTTAAATCTTTCGGGGATAGATTCAATCAAATTGTTGATTGTTTGTATCGGGATTTCATCCCATACAAGCAATAAAGCTTCTTTTAATTTTTGTTCATTTTCAAACACTTTTGTTTTTTCTCTTATTTTCTTTTCCATTATCGACCATAGATGTTCTATGGGACTTAGATCAGGTGAGTTAGCAGGCCATTTTTGAAGTACTTTGATGCCCATTCCCTGTAGTTTTGTTAATGTCGTCTTTGAAGTATGACAAGGAGCTCCATCTTGTTGAAAAACAAATTTTTTTCGTCCCCACTTTTCAACAGCTTCATCAAAAACTCCCGATTCTTTTAGAATGTCAAAATATTTAGCTGAATCGAGTCTGTTGGAACAGAAGACAAGTTTGCTTTTGAAATCCTTTGCAATTGCTCCCCAGACCATTACAGAGCGGTCATATTTGGGAGTCGATTCAAAAATTGTATCTGGGTGATATCCCCAAGGTTTCCACATCATCATACCATCGGAGTGAAGACAGAAACGACTTTCATCTGAGATAATGACACAACTTGTCCATTTATTAATATTCTTTTGCCACAGCTGTTTTCTACAAAATGTGTATCGTGATTCAATATGTTTATCTGTTAAACATGGTCTTTTGATCGCTTTTCCATAATGAAATTTTAATTCGTGGCGTATAGAATTAACTGTTGTTGCACTTAGACCAATTTCCATCCCAACTTTATGACTACTTGATTGTGGATTGATTATCGTTGACATTTCGACGTTTTTCATAGCGTCCTTTGTGATTTTTGGTGGTCTTCCCATTTTTGTTAATTTTGGAATAAATTGTGGATTTTCATTCAACTTAACTTTTAATGAATGAACTGTACTTTTCGAAAGGTGTCTTGAAGTTGAAACTTTTGTTATTGATATTCCATTAATCAAATCCGTGCATGCGTCTTTTAATTTTTGATGACGGAGTTTATCACACATTTTACTTTCTCGCGTCCTCATTACTGGTTTCATTGTTTAATAAAAAAGTTCTTTGACAATTTGCCAAACTCAACCACTTTTTACCACTTTTTAAAACTCAATTCCACTCTTTTAAAATTTTCATCTAAAAAATAATTATTTATCTTTTTTAAAAAATTTATGAGTTTTTTATGTTCTGTGTTTTTCTCTTTTTAAATGTATTTTATTCTGTTAATTATTCGTTTTACCAAAAAATATTAAAAAAAACACACAAAAAAGAATTATATCGAGTACAGACTTTATATTTCCAGTTTAAAATTTATTATTAATTTTTTTATCATTTATTATATTAATTAATAATTTTTTATTATATGTTATGATAAATTTGGGTTTAATATAAATACTATAACTAAATGGTTATATTATATAGTAATATAATATAGTTTAGTAACTAATATTAATAATAAAAACAAATGGAAAAAACCCATAATAAAGAAAAAAATGAATTATGAAACATTTAATGATGATGGTAAACTTAATTAGGGCGGTTCTGATGACACATTCATTGACATCAATGTTTGTTCAGGCACGAACCAAGAAAATGGTTTGTACATAATTTGGATTCACAGAGATTCAAATTACGCAACTTACCAAAATTTTTTATTTATCTAAGCAAGGTTCCCCATTTTTGGTCTGTAAAAAATTACACCAATAAAAACTAGCAACACTTTTTAAATTTCTTAAACTTTATAATATTTTTTCCTGTTTTCATTTTGCCTTGGAAAAAAAACAATCAGAAAAATAAAAAGGTTAATATTAAAGCCAAAAGACGGGATAATTTAACTAATCAATATTGATACAGTAAAACCTCCCAAGAGCGGGAGGGCGTGGGAATTTTGTTCTCTCAAGAGCGGGCATTTTTAGCCAATCAAACCTCAATTACCACCCAATAGAGAACTCTATTTTTAGTTTTAGTCTAAAAAATGTCCGCTCTTGAGAGAACCCGCTCTTCAGAGGTACCGCTCTTGGGAGGTTTTACTGTAATTAGTATCAATTAATTTTGAAAAAATAATTTCCAATATATTTTTGGGCTTTTCTATGTAAAAAACGGATATTTATTGACCGGCCGACACGGACACCTCTGTGCCGGTAACAAGGACATGGTTGTTTTTATGAACCATTTCATTACCCCCTTTCTAAAAATAAACAAAACAATCACTTAAATAGAACACATAACGATACAAAATTTCGATAATTTTTTTCTTTCAAAAGAAAAAAACACTTCTTTCGTTCGAAGACCCAATTGACTGATATTATAATTTTTAGATCAATAAAACATAGAAAAAGAAAAATAATGGGTGCCAGTGTTAATTTTATGGTTAATAATATGGTTAATAATACAATTTGAATAGTAAAATAATACTTGTAAAAACAACACATAAATAATTATCATAATATAATAAAAAAAGATAAAGTATCCACAAAATAACCATATTATATTATAAATATAAAACCATATAAGTCTAAGTGCTTTAAACGAATGCGTGTACTTGGAAAGCCATCGGTATTCATTGGCTGCGTTATCTGAGCGAAGGGCGTTGTTGTGAATTGATTTCCCTTTGTCGCGATAAGAATAATCAATGCTCGCGAATATTACCAAAACAAATTTTTATTTTCTAACAAATAAATGAACATAAAGCAAAAAGTAAGTCGATTAATTGTATAATAACTTTATTATTAATTTTGAGAATGATTTTTTGTTGATTTTAAATAGATTACTTAAATAGTTAAATTTAATATTAAAATAATGTATTTAATCATTGATAAACTATATTGTAAAACTATAATTTTGAACCCTATTAAATTTTCAAATGAATTAAAAATTATTATTGTTCGGCAAAAAAAAATTAAATTAACAATAAAAACACCAAAGAGTCGGGAAAAGATGAAGAAAAAAAGAAATAACACAATAAGAAAAATAATACAACATAAAAAGAGTTCATTTCAATGATAAAAAATTTGTATTAAAATAAGAAAATTGTTTTATGATTGGTAAAATTGTGTGGCAAATTGCCGAAATTTCAAAATTTGGTTTGTATTTACGAATTATGTCCTTGTCGGCCGGTTAATCATATCATTTAACACATAATAATAACAATTGTCTATCCATATTTACCATCCACACCTTTTCAGCCTATTTACAGTAAACTATGCCGTAGTATTTTATGACAAATTATATGTTATTTTATAAATTATTCAATTTCAATAATTTTTTTGATTCATATAGTTTATACAATTAATTAAATAAACTAAAATTAATTAATAAAAAACTTTAGTGTTAAATTTTTTAACAAAAATGTTTTTTTGCGGCAAATTCATTTAAATGGTAAAAGTTAAAGATGACTTTTACATTAAGTTAAATTTGTTTTTTCTTTTTTAACTTTCAAAAAAATCGCTTTTTTATGAATTCGGTCCAAAAAACGTATTTTTTTGTAAACTCTTAGGCAAATTTAATCGCAATTACAATAAAAACTTGTAAGATTTTCAAAGCCATCCCCATAAAAGTGGTCTATCAAGTTAACACTCTTTATAATACATTCAAACCATCAATTTATGGTTTATTTATTAGTGGATTAATTTTCTTTTTGATTTTATTTTTAAAAATAACAAACCATATGATATAGTAAAAATAATAACAATTTTCTAGTATACAATTATAATGCCGTTTCCCGATAATTTATAATGAAAAAACTAAATATTTATTAAAAAATGACAGTAATTAATAAATGCAAAAATGCCTAAGCAAACAGGAAGATGTTTACAATAGAAAAAAAAACACTACGTATTTGTGAGTCATCAAAAAAACCCTATGATGACATTCCACAAACTCTCAAGATCACAAAGAAATGCCAACAATCAGTGTCGACCCAGATTATCTCTTCACATTGATTGGAAAGAAATTTAGTTTGTTCGCCAATTGTTGTATTTTTACTTAACAACTCAACAACAACACATTATCTTACAACAAGCAAAAGAAGAATTTGAGGACGTTTGTTTCCAGTATGGCATTGAACTTGATGAGGTAGATCAAGAAGAAGGGAAAACTGTCTACAAAATCGAGGTTGGTGCAAATCGGTATGACTTGTTATGTGTTGAGGGGTTAGCCATATGCCTACGATCGTTTTTAAAGCTTTCTCCATTCCCCGAATATACATGTAAGCCGAGTGGTGTTCAGATTCATGTTGGAAAAGATGTTGAAAAAGTCCGCCCAATTTGCATGGGGGCCGTTTTAAGAGGAATCAATTTCACTGACGCGTCTTACAAAAGTTTTATTGACTTCCAAGACAAATTACACTTGACTATTGGGAAGAAGAGAAGTTTAGTTGCTATTGGAACACATGATATGGACACGTTAGTCCCCCCATTCAGATACGTCGCTTTAAAACCAGAAGAGATCAAATTTGAACCACTCAAATGCACTACAGAGATGGACGGAAATCAAGTCATCGAACACTTTTCAAACGACTTGAAGCTGAAGGAATACGTCAAATTATTGAAAGGAAAAGAAGTCTTCCCCGTCTTCTTGGACTCTAAAGGTGTCGTCATGTCACTTCCACCTTTGATCAACGGAAACCATTCAAAAATCACATTAAACACACACAACGTCTTTGTTGACATGACTGGGATGGACAGAACAAAAGTGATGATGGCGTTACAAACAGTGGTGACCTGTTTCTCCATGTACTCCGCAACTCCATTCTCAGTCGAGTCAGTCGAGGTCATTGGTGGCCCGATGAATAACTTCGATGAGACAAAAACGACAATCACCCCCGTCTTAGACAAACAAAACACACCAACTACTCTCGCTTATTTGAATAAGTCGCTTGGACTGAATTTGGATAAAGAAACAGTTGCTGATCTGTTGATTAAAATGGGAATTGAATACAAAGACGAAGTTGCTATAGTTCCACCAATGCGAACTGATGTCATGCATCCATGTGATATTATGGAAGACTTGGCTATTTCATATGGCTTCAATAATTTGGTAGCGTCAGATTCCATTTCTCGAACATGTGGGAAAGAACTCATCACAAACAAATTGAAAGATCTCTTGTCAAATGAAATTGCATATGCCGGATTCTCCGAAATTATCACATTCGTCTTAATGTCAGTCGCAGATGCGGCAACTAATTTAAGAAGAAACACCGACGGACTTATTAAGTTGAAAGATTCAAAGACCCCAGAATTCCAAACGGCACGAAAAACGTTGTTAAGTGGCATGTTAAAGTGTTTGTACTTCAACAAAGCATATATGATGCCAATCAAGTTGTTTGAAGTTGGTGACACCGTAATATTGAAGGAAGGTAGTTTGACAGGTGCGATGAATAGAGCGCAAGTGTGTGCTTTGGTTTGTTCACCTGTTGGGACTATGGAAGACATCCATGGGTTACTTGACAAGATCATGTTCTGTTATGGTGTTGGGTATAAAAAGGCAAGAAAAGAGAATGGGCCCGTCTATGATATAGTTAAAGGAACTGATCCAGCTTACTTAGAAGGAAGAGGCATTGATATTTTAATCAATGGAACTAAATATGGAATGTTTGGTGTACTTCATCCTGAGGTCCTCAAAAACTTTGAAATTGACAATCCAGTTGTTGCTCTTGAGCTTTTCTTAGACTTCCCCAATGGTCTTTAATTCGTTATTCCGATGATTTTTTTTGGTAATAATTTTTAAATAAATTTTTAGTAAATTTTTTTCATAAGAAAAACTCGAATTGAATTTTTTTAAAAATAATTTCGTTGAATTTTTTGATCAAATAAAGAAATAACAACATAAAGTAAATTAATCCAAGATGTATGCAACAACATCAAGAAACTTTCCAAACTGTTGCGGGTTAAATCTTCTCATCGCACCATAATAAGTGTTGGAGAAGATGACTTGATAACAACTTCTGCACTGTGCTGCAAACGCGCAAATGGCAATCCAACAGTTCATGTCACACATAACCATTCCTTGAGAAAACGCCTTGTGTAAAATAAGAGCAGTCGCTGGTTGAATGAAGAACCCAAGTTGTTTTAAAGCCGGCAATATTTCGTGTGGCTCCATTGTTCCACTTCTGTTAGTGTCGTTCATCACAAATAATGTGAAACACAACTCAAGGAATTTGTAAAGTCCCATGAATTCATAGAAGGAGATGTGACCGTTGTGGTCAGTGTCAAAGATTCTCATCATTCTTAATGCAGTCTTTGGTGCAAGTCTGATACCACCCGGAAATTGTCCCGTCATTAATTCGTTGATTTCCAAAGTTCCACTTCTGTCTCTATCAACTCCCATGAACCAAGCATATATCCTCTGGTATTGGTCAATCGGAATAATATTCACCAAACAGTACCACCACGAGTTTTTAATAGCAGCGTTCATTTTATAGCAACACTGTTGTCCACCCCATCCATTTTGAAGTGGTTTCAACTCCCACAAATTGAATTGCGTCATTAACGCTGGGGCTTGTACTGGGGGCATTCCCATAGGAGGACATCCCATCGGGGGCATTCCTCCCGGCATCATCCCAGGCATTGGGGGTTGACCATATTGCATAGGGGGTTGGCCGTAAGGTACTTGTTGTGGATATCCGAACATTAAACTTCAATGATATATTGTTTGTAACGTTGATATATTGTCAACGAAGAGAGACACACAAACAAAAGCTTATTTATGTCCATTACACAAGGAAATTAACGCTTATATTTTGTACAAAGAGACACCAAAAGAGGAAATAATTCAGTTTCCCAAAACGGTTGATTTAACAATTTTTTAATAGAAAACACTAATGGGATTCGATGTAAGTTTATAATAATTAATATAGTATATTAAACTATTCAATATAGTTCAAGATAATACAAGAAAAAAATAGAAACTATAATATAATTATAAAACAACTAGAATGAAACCAATAGCCAACGAAGAAAATAGCAATGAATTAGAGTTCAGAGACCTTAATGGCACAGTCGTTTCCAGCTGTGAATATTCTGCCACTCTCCTCAATCATTACTGCGTTGCAACCGAATGGATGTACTCTTCCGAGTGGTACGATATTCTTAGTTTCGATTTCAAGGACGAAACTGTATCCGTCCATAGAAGCAGTTGCGATGAAAGTATTCTCCTTATTGAATGCAATTTCGAGGACCTTAGAGTTGTGTGGGACCCATCTGTGGTACAACACCTCATATGTTTCGGCGTTTCTCAACATGACAGTTCTGCTATCATCGGTGTGGACAAAGTACTTTCCGTCACTTGAGAATTTGACGCATTGGACAACGCCATTAACTTCTTCAGTCAATTCGCTCTTCTCAGTCAATTGGCCATTAGCTCCAATAGTGAAGAATTTGATATTCCCTTTCTTGCAACCCGCAGCCAAAAGTGTGTTATTATGGTTCAAGCAAATGGATTGGGCACCGTCTGGAATAACAATTGTCTGAACAACACTTGTGAAATTCATCACCTTAATACCCTTGTTAGTAGCAACATATAACAAATTGTTTAAGAAGACACCTTCATTGCATGGAGCTTCAGTGGCAATACTGTCGCCATATTGTAAAGTATTTTTGTCAGTGAATCTGACAGTATCATCAGCACCAAGAGTCGCGATTTTATCTCCACAAATCACTACATCACTAACCCTAGATGGATGCCCCTTTCCCTTAAATGCAACAGCCTTTCCATTTGCCTTTTCCCATCTCACAACGTGTCCATCGGACGAAGCAGAGTATAAGTACTCACCAGCATCAGCAAGCGAGGTGACTGGATTGGCATGTCCTTCAATAACTTCCTTAATTTGTCCTCCTTCAACGTCAAGAAGATTCATAGCCCCACTCAGTGAAGTGCTAATTGGACCAAACTTTGTGAAGACGACACCAAGTTGTTGGTCTTCAACAGCTGTTCCAAGTGCAAATCGTTTCAAGACAGCTCCGTCAGCAGCATTCCACAAAATGCAGCTCTTATCAGCAGAAGAAGTAATGAAAGTCTTAGAATCTTCTGACCATGAGATGTTATAGACACCAGCCTTGTGCTCAGTCTTTTTGTAGATGAAGTCACCAGTCTTTCCATCAAAAACAGAAACAATTTTATCAGAAGAAACACAGACACAGAAGGCTCCATCTGGGGAGAAGCGAGCGCAGTTAATGAATCTGGTGTGGATGTCTCTCATTGATTTTTTGAATTTGAAGGGTGGTCCCTCGAACCAACATGGGAACTCGTCTTCGCCAGAGGTGATTAATCTGAATGGTCTCGACAACTTGAAGTCACACGACAACAGTGTTTTGGTTTGTCCCGAGATCTCACCAACAGATGATCCGGCATCCCACATAAAGACATACCCGAGCTTTTCTTTTCCTTCACCAACTACACATATTCTCTGACTATCACCAGTCCAAGCAATGTCATAAATTGGTCCAGAAAGTGCTCTAATAGTTAATTTAAGAGGATGTTCCTTCTGTGTAGTGTCCCATATTCTCACATTACCTTGCATATCACCAGAACAAATGTAGTAACCACTTGGAGAGTACTTAGCGCATGTTGTTTCTATTGGGTGTTCGAAGTAAAGGTCAGTGTTAAGAGCGTTGTTCAAGTCTCTAATGACTATGGTCTTTCTGTTGGGGTAAACAATGTTGGTCCCAATCTTTGCATTGGACATGTAGCCAATATGAATTGGACGACCACGTGTAACGGTTGGAAGTGGCGCATATGTCTGTTTCACTTTACTCATTGCTCTTTTGTTTTTCAGTTGAACTTTACAGTTCTTATCTCCGAGGGAGAATCTGGAAATTTGGTTGTAATTGTATTTCTCTTGATATAGTTTCTTTATATAAAATTATCTAGCAATTTTAACTTTGGAAAGGTTTGACGATTTGGAACTAAAGGTGGAACTAACAATAATAATAGTATTTTTACTATTTGGTATTATTTCCCGATGTATTGCTGAAAATACCAATAAAACCATAATTCTAATAATTTTACTATACAAGTGATGATTGAAAATAAGTATTATTATTACTATAATTTAATTTTGATGTATTCTATATGACAGTTTGTAATTATTAAGTTGAAAAGAGAGTAAAAAATATGTTAAAAACTAACTCAAACCTTTACACAATCTAAAATAAAAATTTATCACATTCAAACAGATTATTTATCGCACTTAAATATTGTTCATTTTCCTACAAATAATACTTTTCCAAAAGGTTGTACAGGTAATGGTCTGTAAAATATTTTTAAAAGTTGATGATAATCAGAAAAAAGAAATGAATGATCTCGAGTGTTTTATGCCATTAATTTGTGGTGAGAAGCGATCAATAAGTATTGCTCAAAAGTTTTTTGAAAACGTCCATTAAAATGAAAGAATAATTTAATTAGTTAGTTTATTTAATTGATAAGTAACTTTCCATTTACATTTGAATTTGATTTACACACATCATCATCTAATGAAGAAAAGGGAACAACATTAAAATTAAATAACTGCTTTTTTATTGTTTCATATCAATTTAGTGTTTTATGCTATTGTTTTCGACTTTTAATTGACAAATTAAAGTAATAATTACAAGATGGCATTATGTAGCAATTTTATTTACCGCTTTTTGCTTTTACATTTTGACCAAAAAGACAGCAAAAACCCCTTTACAACAAGATGCTCATTACGGAAATAGATCAATCATAAACAAACAATTGGGTATTTGTCCCGTTCTTCATGTATAAATGTGTTTAACTTTCCAATGAAATAGCTGAAAAGAAAAAAAGAAGTAATTAGAAGACAACTTTTTATCATCTCGAAAAAGAAATCAAGCGCAAATGACAACAAGTGGTGAAGACACATTCATATTATATATAAAAACACCGAAAAGTAAGAAAGGAAGGAGAGTATTGACAAGTGAGCCATGTTATTGATCTCAAAATTTCCAAAATACCATTTCATAAAAATAAAAATCAAGAGTAAAAAACAGGAGGAAAACTTAAAAATCATATTATAATGAGAATAGTGTTGGCGCTGTTATTGCTAACAACAGTACTGGGAGCCGCTTCAACCCCATTTTATGTCCTTCAGTACTATGAAACAGAAAATAGACTCTCATTGTTGGAGAGCGAAATGAAGAGACTTGAAGACGTCGAAAGACATCTCCACGACGTGTTGGACAGACTTGGATTGGACTTGTCAGTCACTCTCGAGAAGGACAAACCAGAGATCAAAAACCGTATTATGGACATCGAGTCACAGATCAATTCACAACAATTAAGAAAGGCTTCCGTCTTGGAATCGATGAAGAAGGAACTTGGCGCAGTCCCTGAAGATGTCAGAAATAACATCATCGCGAATTTGAAACTCGACAGAAGATTCTCCGGTGTCGACATTGTCTTGGGAAAGTCTAAATTCCCAGAACCAGTCGCCCAAGCTGCGGTCCAAGCGAAACCAAGTGCTACTCCAGTTCAGACCAAACAAGAGAAAAAGGCTGCAAAAAAAGCTACTAAGAAACAGTCCAAGAAGCAAATCAAACAAATGAAAGAAGAGAAGAAGGCTTTGAAGGCTCAAAAATCCCAAACTAAAGAGGCCGAGAAAAAAGCTGTTGCTGAGGTTAAAAAAATGATGAAGAAGGCGAAAGATATGGCCAAACAAGTCATGAAGAAAGCTGAAAAGAAACAAAAGGCCGCAGAGAAAAAGGTTAAGAAAATGCTCGAAAAGGCTCAGACTGAAACTAAAAAGACCCAAGAAAAGGCTGAAAAGAAGGCAAAGAAGGCTGCTGAACAAGCCAAGAAGGACGCTAAAAAGGCCGCGAAACAAGCGAAGAAAGATGTCAAAACAGCTACCAAGGAAGTTAAACAAGCTGCTAAAGACACCAAGGCTGAGGTAAAGGATGCCAATAAACAGATCAAGAAGGACAACAAGGAAGTCGTCAAGAAGATGGATTCTGTTAAGAAGGACGTCAAAAAGGATAACAAGAAGAGCATCAAGAAGGCTGCATCCAAGGCCAAGACTGTTGCCAAGAAACAAGCTGGAAAGGCTGAGAAGAAGATGGCGAAGGATGTCAAGAAGGCTGAGAAGAAATTGAAGGCATCAGAAAAGAAGACTGCCAAAGACTTGAAGGCAAAGGTCAAATCTGCAGAGAAGAAATCTGCTGAAGCCAAGAAATCTGCTAAGAAATCAGGAAAGAAGGCAGAGAAGTCCGCGAAGAAGGCAGCTAAAGATGCCAAGAAGGATATGAAGAAACAAGAAAAGAAGGCAGAAAAGGTTGCCAAATCAGCAAAGAAGGCAGCTAAAAGTGCAGCGAAGGATGCCAAGAAGCAAGTGAAGAAAGCAGAGAAGAAGGTTTCTTCAACTAAGAAGGGACTTAAGAAACAACTCAAGAAGACAGAGAAGGCGACTAAGAAGGTCAAAGAAGCAGAGAAGAAACAAAAGAGCCAATTGAAGAAGATGAAGAAAGACGTCAAGAAGGGTAAGAAATCAGCAAAGGATCTTAAGAAGTTGAAATCAACAGTCAAATCGACAAAGAAGGCAGAAAAGAAATTGGAGAAGAAGGAAAAACAACTGAAGAAAGACTTGAAGAAGAAGATTGCTAAGAACGCAACAAAGGCAAAGAAAGAAGCCAAAAAACAAGCAAAGAAGGCAGCAGGAAAGGCGGAAAAGAAGGCCGAGAAGAAATCAATCAAGGCAGCTAAGAAATACACAAAGAAGCAGACCAAGAAAGTTGAGAAAAAGGAGGAAAAGAAGATCAAAAAGGCACAGAAGAAGTTGAACAAGAAGGTCAAGAAGGTCCAAAAACAAGAAAAGAAGGACAAGAAGAAACTCGAGAAGAAAGAAAAGAAGAACGCAGAAAAGGCTAAGAAGGCAACACAAAAGGCACTCACAAAAGCAAAGAAGGAGGCCAAGAAACAAGCAAAGAAGGCAGAGAAGAAGGTGAAAAAAGCCGAGAAGAAGAACCTCAAGAAGCTTGAAAAGAAGAACAAGAAGGCTGTGAAGAAGTTGGAAAAGAAGGAGAATAAGAAGATCAGCAAAGCAAAAGCTGCCGCCAAACAAGCTAAAAAGGCCAACGATAAGCTCAAGAAGAAGACCTCCAAAATCAGCAAAAAGGTGACAAAGAAGATTACAAAGAAAGTTGCTAAGACCAACAAAAAGGCTGCCAAAAAAGCAAATAAGAAAGCCGCTAAAAAGGCTGCGAAGAAGAGTGCAAAGAAGAATGCCAAGTTGTCTAAGAAGTCGACAAAGAAAAGCATCAAGAAATCCGAGAAGAAGCTCAACAAGAAACTTTCAAAGAAGATGAGTGCCAAGTTTGGAAAGAAGAACGCTAAGAAGGCTATGGCCAAAATCAAAAAGGCTGAAAAGAAAGCTGAGAAGAAAGCCAAGAAGCAAGGACTTAATAAGAAGCAGACAAAGGCTCTTATTAAGAAAGCCGCCAAGAAAGCCCAAAAGAAACAATCAAAGAAATTGGCTCAAAAGAAGAAAGTTGTTAAGAAAAGTTCACCAAAGAAGTCTGTTCAGAAACAAAACTTGAAGAAGCAAAAGGCAGTCTTGAAGCAGAAGCAGAAAAAACTCGAGAAGCTTCAAAAGAAACAACAAAAAGCCACAGGCAAAGAAAAGAAGGCTATTCAGAAAAAGATTGAGAAGAAACAAAAGCAAATCAAACAAACTAAAAAACAAGTGAAACAAACAAAGAAACAATTGAAACAGACAAAGAAGCAACACAAGAAGTAAACGTTGTTAAGTGTTTTCTTTTTATCGTCTTATTTTTTTGTTTGTAAACATTTTTAATAAATTGAAAAGAACAAGATAATTAGAGTTTTTATTATTTGTTATAATTAAATAACACTTATAATAAATTGTTAGTTTTTTTTGATTTGTTTTATTGTGATATGATAAAATTTTTTCCCCTTTTTGTGCTGTGTAACTTTATTCACATAATAGAATTCTAAAATATAGGTTAATTATTCAATAAACTCGAGATTTCCCGTTTTTAGACGACTTGAATTTTGTTTAATAGTATTTTTGGTTTTAATACTAAAAATTATTAAATAAAATTATTCAATTCAATATTTTGATTATTTTTAATTACTAATAATGATTCTGAAACTATCTCAATGTGTTGTGATTGTATTGATTATCAATATCAAAGGCTTCAATATGATTCATAACTAATATGCCAATATTATAACAGAGTTTCACATCTTGTTCATCGTTTTAACACTTTAAATAACATTGAACAAAATTCAAGTGGTCTAAAAATCGGGAAATCTCGAGTTTATTAAATAAATTTCCGTTTTTTAGAGTTTATATTAAGTTAATAAACAATACACAAGCCAAAAAAGGAAAATAACCAAAAATTTGATTAATATCCCAGTAAAAACAGGCCAAAACAAAAAGAAGGGCGTTATTTTAAGTGTTAAGTTATACAAATTTATTGAATACACTCTTACTAGAGCTTGTTTATGTTTTTTATTCATCAAATTACAATTATTAATAAACATTAACATGAATATCACGAAAACTTAATTAATCAACTTCCTCCATTTGAGAATTCATCTCTCCAGCAGGAGTCTCTTCGACTGGCTTGACATCTTCAGCCTTTGGGACTTCTTCTTCCTTGTCATCAAGTGAGAGACCCAATTTGACCATTCTGTAAATTCTACCAGCGAAAGCAGCTGGGTCATCGAGAGAGAATCCAGAAGACAACAAAGCAGTTTCGAACAACAAAACAACCAAGTCCTTGACGGTCTTATCTGAGTTGTCGGTGTGGACTCTTTTCTTGAGTTCTTCGACGATTGGGTGGTCTGGGTTGAGTTCAAGTGTCTTCTTTGAGACCATGTAAGTGCTCATAGAGTTGTCTCTGAGTGCTTGAGCCTTCATGATTCTTTCCATATTAGCGGACCATCCATATTCGCCAGTAACAAGAGCGCATGGACTGTTGACAAGTCTTGTTGAGATGACAACCTTCTCGATTTTCTCGCCAAGAATCTCCTTGACGGCCTTTGAAAGTTCTTCGTTGTCTTTTTCCTTTTGCTCGGCAGCCTTTTTCTCGTCTTCGGATTCGTCGACCTTGACGCCATCCTTAGTGATGCAGACAAGCTTCTTTCCGTCGAATTCTCTCAATTGTTGCATAGCGTACTCATCAATTGGGTCGGTCATGTACAAGACTTCAATTCCTTTCTTCATGAATCCTTCGACGAATGGGGAAGTTTCAACGACCTTCTTGCTCTCACCAGTAATGAAGTAAATTTCCTTTTGTCCTTCTTTCATTCTTGCGATGTAGTCCTTGAATGAGGTCATGTCTTCTCCAGACTTTGTTGAGTAGAATCTGAGGAGTTCAGCGAGTTTATCTCTGTTGGTAGTGTCTTCGTGGATACCAAGCTTCAAGTTCTTTCCGAAGGCCTCGTAGAACTTCTTCCAGTCGTCCTTGTTCTCAGAGATCTCAGCAAACATTTCAAGGGACTTCTTGACAAGGTTCTTTCTGATGACCTTAAGAATCTTGTTCTGTTGCAACATTTCTCTTGAGACGTTCAATGGGAGATCCTCGGAATCGACAACACCCTTGATGAATCCTAACCACTCTGGGATGAGTTCTCTGCAGTCGTCCATAATGAAAACTCTTCTGACGTACAACTTGATGTTGTTGGACTTCTTCTTGGCATCGAACATATCGAATGGAGCTCTTTGTGGGACAAACAAAATAGCAGTGAACTCGATTTGTCCTTCAACGGAGAAGTGCTTGACAGAAAGGTGGTCTTCCCAGTCGTTAGAAATGGTCTTATAGAAAGCAGAGTATTCTTCCTTAGTGATTTCTTCTGGCTTTCTGGTCCAGATTGGTTTTTGCTTGTTGACTTGTTCCCACTCGCTGGTAGTCTTCTTGACCTTTTTAGTCTTCTTTTCTTTCTTCTCTTCTGGCTTCTCCTCTTCTTTCTTCTCGTCTTCGATTTTCACTTCGTCTTTCTTCTCTTCGTCCTTCTTTTCCTCAGTCTTCTCTTCTGGTTTCTCTTCCTTCTTCTCTTCTTTCTTGTCTTCAGCCTCATCATCAGTCACTTCTTCTTCAGTCTCCTTAGTGACGTAGAGCATAATTGGGTATTGGATGAATTCGGAATGCTTCTTGATGATTTCTTGAACCTTTTTGGTGTCCAAATAGTCTTGCATGTCTTCCTTCAATTTCAAAATGACCTTAGTTCCTCTCTTGAGTTGTTGTCCGCTTTCGTCAAGAGTGATAGTGTACTCTCCACCAGCACGAGATTCCCAAACGTATTGTTCATCATCGTTGTTCTTTGTGATGACAGTGACTTTCTCGGCAACCAAGTATGATGAGTAAAAACCGACACCGAATTGACCAATCATAGAAACATCGGCGGTTCCTTCCATAATCTTTGACATGAAAGTTTTGGTTCCAGATCTAGCAATGGTACCAAGGCAGTTAATCAAGTCGGCCTTAGTCATACCAATACCGGTATCTTCAATAATCATCTGGTTGTTGTCCTTATCGCAAGTGATTCTGATGAGGAGATCGGGTTCTTCACCAAGAACTTCTTTGTTTGAGAGGGATTCGTATCTGATTTTATCGAGAGCATCAGAGCAGTTTGAAATTAACTCTCTCAAGAAAATGTCCTTGTTCGAATAGAATGCGTTGATGATCAACGACAGAAGTTGGTTGATTTCAGCTTGGAATTGGAAGGTTTCAGTCATGAATTGTCTGAATGAATTACCAAAGTCAGGCTTTATATAGTCTTGCCCTTTGACGTGGCTCTTTGTCGACCCACCACGTGGGATCTTTGTGTATTTTTCATTTAATTTCGCTTTTACTATTAGTTTACTATTAAAAATAATACAGCGGGTTACAGGTGATATTTAGGGTTCATATACTTTCCACGTGGATCGACGTACTATCCAAACTGGCAACATCATTCACCTTCGTCAAGAACAGTTGATGTTTTTTATACATTCTATTTTTAAACTAAAGCTCATGTTCTTCCCGTTTTATTTAAACTTTGGTCAAGACAATCAAGTTGTCTTTGAACATTCTTGATGATGTCATCACACATCATTTTCAAAACAAGATCAAACTTACTATATAAAATTTGTTGTGCACACATGTTTTAATAAGTTTTTCGTTGTCTCGCGAAACACAAAGCCGGCAGTTATTTCTTTTATAAAGAAAAATGTGATGAAGTCGAGCAATTATTGAATGGTTTTTAATTAATTGAATTTCTTATACAACTATGGTTTTCTCCTTTTTTTGAAAACTTCGAAAAACGACGAAATGGAACTGAAATTGTGTTTTATATGGAAGGAGGAAGTGAAACAGGGATTGAATTAAATCCTTATGAAAAGTCGGACGCAGAACCACCAGGACGCCCTTCATTTTTTAGCCTCCTTGTTGATGAAGAAGAGGACGATGGCGAAGAAGAAGAAGATAAAGACGAGCAAAAACCAAAGCAAAAAGACAAAGGGTTTGATGAGTTAATGGATATAATCGACCCAGACGACTTTTTACAACAATACGTTGAAGCCGAGTTGGAAACTCAAACGATGCTTTGGGGTGATATTTATGAGGCTAATAAGTGTTTGGATTTTGCACCAACGACATCACTTGAAGTCAAATTGAATTCATTCAACAAACTTCTTTCAGTCTCTGGAATAATGGCAGACTGCGGCAAACGTAAAAAGGGAGGAGAAAAGAAGGTGAAGCCAGTTAGAGTATACAAACATATCAAAGACAGTCTGACAAGCTCGGAAGACACTTCAACAACAGACTACTCAGACTCTTCTGAAACGTTCATTTCTGGAAGACAAACCCCAAATGACATCTCACATGATGCCTTTAGTAGTGAAAAACTTTCTGAAGATTTGGAAGACAAAAAGCACGCAAATATCTCTCCAGACAAAGTCACAGTTCCACCTTTACCAACCCCAATTATTAAACAGAACTCAGACATCGATAATTCGAGTGCAGACGTCCCAAGCACTCCTACGGAAAAAGGAGAGAACAAGTCCGAGACAAGTGAGAGTGAAAACAAATATTCGATTGATGCAAAACCCTTTGTCAGAAAAGCGAAGAAACAAGAGAGTAAAAGCATTGAAATGCTTCCAAGTGACGAGAACAGAGTCGAGAAATTTGGTATTGAAAAGACAGACAACATCATCAAAATATCACAAGACGACAAAAACATCAAAATCGATCTCTCAAAACCACACGCCAGTTTTGTCCCCAAAAAAAGACAAAAGAAGTTGACGCCACTGGCAGATTCACAAATCATTGAAGCCAAAATAGAAGAGGAAAATATCATTAAAACGACTCCACAAGACCAAGGAGAGGTCGTACACACAACAACTATTCCAATTCCTTCAAAATTAATGGAATTTCCAATTGTCGAAGACTCTCCCATTGACGTGGAGAACTTAATTCAGACAAACATCCCCGAAGAAAAGAAAGACGATTCCAAGGTCGAGGGGAACGAAGTCATTCAACTTAAGCAAACACCAATTGACATAAAAATCGAGAACGCCGATTCAAAACCTTTGAAAAAAAAAGAGAAGAAGGACAAGCGCAAGAAAGGGGACTTGAAAGAGGTCAAACCACAAGAACTTGTCAATGTCGTTCTTCAAATTCCTAAAGCAAAAAAGAAAGAATCGCGACATGACGACGTGAAGCGCGTAGTTCCAATTTCTTCGAGTCCAGGAGTCGACGTTCAAAAGAAGAAAAACGCACAACTCACTAAGAGGACCAAGAAAGGAACAAGTCCCAACAACATCGACCGCAAAACAAAGGACTTTGAAGAAGTAAAAACTGAACCAATGAGAGAGAGAAAGGTCAATAAGATGATGGAAATTCAGAAGCCCGAAATAGAGAAATACAAAGAGACGCGAACAGTCATTACACCACAACAAGAACTCCCGTGGCACAAGAAACTTCTTATCTATGCGAAAGATAGTGGAGAGGATTTCATGGTGGTTTTCAAATACCACAAACAAATTGTACTCATAGTGGTCACGGTAATGACTTTCACAGGGGCTGTCATATTGTTCATGTTGTATATGGTCAATAGAGAATCCGACTTCGACGACTAAACTTTTAATAATTCATTAATTCGTAATTGCAAGTTCGCGTCATTTGAAGGTTCAAAATCTTTTATTTTATGTATAACACTCGATATTAAACATTTACTATTGATCCATTGGCATAAGTATAATATTTTATAAGAACATTAACTACTCAAAAAATGGACAAAAAAATAACGACAAAAACAACTAGTTAAGAAAATGGTAAAAATGTTAATAATTAATAGAAAAAACGAAAAATTGTGAAACCCTAAGAGTGAAGCTGAATAATGTGATTCGACATGCCAAAGAGAGGAGCAGGAGGAAGACAGGGAAACAAGTTCAGAGTGACGTGCGGTTTGAACAACGCTTCTACCGTTAACTGCGCTGACAACACCGGAGCCAAAACATTGACTATCATCTCCGTCAAGGGCTTCCACGGCAGACTGAATCGACTCCCAAGAGCTGGATGTGGCGATATGGTTGTTGCGACATGCAAAAAAGGTAAACCAGAGTACAGAAAGAAGGTCCACACCGCAGTCATCATTAGACAAAGAAGAACTTGGAGAAGAAAGGACGGAACCACTTTGTACTTCGAAGACAACGCCGCTGTCATCGTCAACTTGAAGGGTGAAATGAAAGGCTCCGCCATCACCGGCCCAGTCTCTAAGGAATGCGCCGATTTGTGGCCAAAGATTTCTTCTAACGCTCCAACCATCGTTTAAGTGATCTCCTTGTCGATCTAGTTATTTCTTTTACCTTCTCCTTTGCGTTTATTGTATTTTATAACATCTCTTATTATTGAGGTATTAGTTCAATAAAAGTAGTATTAATATATAAATTAATTATTAAATCAGTAACTTCATGATATTTGGAATAAGTCGTTGGACATTCTCTTTGACAGTCTCTTCCTTCATCGCACTATGTAAATCTATGGGACCATTTTGAATGGAAAATATCGAGAGTTTGGAATCGACGGGATAATTCAAAGGAAGATCGTTACACCCACATAACGCTACTACTTTACAACGTTTCAGCTTTGTTCGTTTGAGAATACCACCCAACACTTTCCCCATAAAACTTTGTTCATCTATTTTACCTTCCCCAGTGATGACTAAATTTGCATCTCTTATAATCTCTTCAAAGTTGGTAAGATCCAAGACTAAGTCTATGCCACTTTTTAACTCGGAGTTGAAAAGAGCAAGAAAAGCTCCACCAATACCACCAGCAGCACCAGAACCAGGATACTCTAAAATCGGCTTCTGAACCAATCTCTGCAAAAGCGTCCCGTAATTGAGCATGCCATTGTCCAAGATTTTTGCAGACTCCATTGTTGCACCTTTTTGAAATCCATAAACAAATGAAGCACCATTGGGACCACACATCGGGTTATTCACATCACAGGCAATTGTAAATGTCGAGTCCTTAAGACCTTTATTGAAATGTGCTAAGTCAATGCTCCGAATTTTTGCAAGTATTTCCCCACCACCTATTAACTCTTTGCCATTTTCATCGTAATATTTGGCCCCAAGTGCCCGAAGCATACCACACCCTCCATCATTGGTCGCACTCCCACCAATCCCAATAACAAATTTGCGAATGTTTCTTTTTAAAGCGTCTGAAATAAGCTCACCCAATCCATAAGTTGTCGTCTTTAAAGGGTTTCTCAGTGTGTCTGGCACCAACACAAGTCCACTTATTTTTGCCATTTCTATAATACAAAAATCGCCACATATAGCGTATTCCGCTGTAATAATGTTCATTAAAGGGTCATGGGCTTCACACTTTATTATTTCGCTGTTAAATAAAGTCATTAAACTCTCTAATGTACCTTCTCCCCCATCTCCAATAGGCATTGTATATACAGAACAGTTTTTACTTGTGGTGTGGAGGGCCTTGGATATACACTCGTTCAGTTCCGTTGAAGAAATGCTGCCCTTGAACGAGTCGCAAGCAACGACAACCTTCATTTGATTATGTAGTTTTGAATAGTTATATTATAATAATAATACTATAAACTGTATAAAATGTCTAACATTCAAGTTATGAAGAAATACAATTACACAATAATTAATTCGCATCAGAAATATTCTCTCTGTACATTCGAGGAGTTACAGAAGTTGAAGTAATGCAAGGAGTTCTTTTCGGTGGAGTGAAAGTCCCAACTTTGTGTTTAATAAGTGTAAAGAGTGATTCTTTAGTCGAGTCTCCACTACTACCTCTTTCATGTGGTTTAGGTGGCGACAAAGTTCCTTCGCATTCAACTGGAGTCAATCGCCCAACTTGTTTTACTGGAACAACAGTCACTCGGTCTTTTTCTCCAAAACTCTTTGAATGCAAAACTCTGCTGATTTGTGTTTGTGGCACCAAAGTCTTGAATTGAGGCGGTTCATATCGGTCGACAAGCCCCACGTCTTTATTCACCTTTTCAACACAAACGAGAGCAATTGTAGTGTGGTCTAATTTACCAGGAAGACCATCTGGTCGTCTTTGTCGTGGATTGTTTTGATGAAATTGCCTTGTTTTCTCAGTGACTTCGATCACATAATTGCACAGACTCTCAACACACAAACACAAATTGGCACATTGTTGAATTCGTTGACCCAAAATCTTGTTAAGTGCGTCCTTTGCATGCATCTTCTGCATTATAATCGACGGTTCAAAATTGTCATACATTCCATCAGTCGCTGCAATTAAACAGTCGTTCTCTTGGACATCAAAACACAACAACCCACTTCCTCGTAATGCGGGAAGTCCTCCACCCGCGTCTCCCAAGCATGACAAACACACTGATGTCTTGTCGACAGTCTTGTGTCGCTCTCCAAAGCACGATTTGACGGTTTTATTCTTTGAATTGTAATGATACAGTTTTGAATCGCCAATACATAAAGCAACTGTTTTGATTTTGTCTTTGAGTGTTGAGAAGGTGAATGAAAGTGTCAACGTTGTTGTTCCAACTCCTTCTTGTGAACTTATTCGCGTTTTGAAAATCGATTGCTGTGCCAACTCAGCAATGTCGACCAATAACTCTGCAACAGACTTCACAGTGGTTAAAGACTGCGATTTTTCAATTATAGTGTCAAGCGACGTGTAAACAGCTTGACGAGCTGCAATCGATGATTTAGTTCCCCACCCGCCTTAAAGTTATTTATGACACACTCAATGTACTTATATTGTATTAGTCGAAAAGTCATCAAAAACAAACAGCCATCTCCAAGAGCAATAAGCGTTGCATTTGTAAACCTGACGATCCCTACTTTATCACAATTTGGTTCTCCTTGTTGAACTCCTTCTATAATTGGGTATGTAGAAATTGAGGCCATTGCAAAGGAGTGTTCTCTTGATCGAATAGAACTGTGGTCCACCACAATGTGTTTTGAAAACAACAAGTTATTGATTGGCTTAATTGGGGAGTCCGACATTGCCTTAATCTCTTTTGCAAAGTGTTGTCTAAAGTCGATGAATTTGCTCATTGACTATTTAAGAATAACAAGTTCCAAAAGCTCTTCAGGTGTAATAATCTCTTTTATTTCGAAATTCAATATGCGAAATTTGGTTTTTTACATCTTTAGTTTCTAATATATAAATTCCATGTTATTTTTCTTTCGTTTTTTTTTTAAAGTCTTTTTTTTATTCTTTTAAAGTCCCGCTTTTTACGTTTATTATTTCGTAAATTATTGTTATAATAATTAAGTTACTCTTTATTTATCTTTATTTCATTCTTGGTGTTGATAATAGAATTCAACAATGTTATCTTTATTTGGTTAATGCTAAAATAGGAAAACTGTAATTAAACTTCCTAAACTCCATTTATAATTATTTTACTATAAATTATACTATTCAAATAAGAGAAAAATAGACTTGATGACATTCATTCAAGTCAATTAAAACATTGAAAAGGCCAAGTAAAATAACCTCTTTTGATATGTCTTAAATTATTAAATGGTCCATATAAAGTCGATGAAACCATCATCCATATATAACTTATTGATCAAAGCCATTTTTGACTTGAAACAAAACTTGCTGAACTTTATGTTCATTCACTCATTGATGTAATATTTTAATAGAAAAAGAAGTTTACAAAACACACAAATTAAATACACACATCAACCACATCATCGACACATTTCAAAAATCTGTACTCCTTCTCCCTTGGAATTAAAGCAATATCTTTCACCTCTATTTCGGGTACCCAATCGTCGACATTGCTCTTCAACAACTCTTCCATGCCTTTCTTGTATTCTTCCCCATTCTTAAACTCATCAACTTTCATTTGAATTGTCACCGCTTCATCCTCTTTACGTTGAGTTCCCTCATCCAAATTTTGTTGAGGATCTATTTTTCTTAGTGATTGGTCCATTTGAATTAGTGTAGACTCTGCTGAAAACTTATGAGTCTGTTGTTGAGACTTTTGCACACCTCGAGGTGTTGATATAAGTAAACTAATTTTTGGAATACTTCGAGGAGTGTCTCGCTGTTCACTGATTGTTCTACTTGAGTCACTACTTTGTACAGTTATTGTATCAACATGAGTGTGATTTGATTCATAGTATTCCCGACTTATAATGCTATTTGTTCTGTCGACTCTGTTTTGTAAAGGTACTGTTGGTGGTTGTTTAAAGCTTGTTGAGTGTCTATTCAATTGAATTGAAACATTTGGGTTTGTTGTCACGCGACTTCTGCGACTTCTAGGAACAAGAGATGGTGGTTGGTAATGTGCTCTGTCGTAGTGGACCCTTCTTTCTTGTGCCAAATAATTGTCGAGTTCAAATTGTTTCATCACAATATATGTTTTGACCTTATCTTGCTTCTTAGTTTCCGTTTTGATCTCCGCTTCACAACGAGATATCTCTGCTTCGTAATTCTTTATTGACTGCCCAACATACCCTTTTGGGCATGTTTTCATCTCGTCTTCAATCTTCCTTTTGTACAAAATGATCATATTTCTATACCGATCTATATTCTTTTGAAAAGTCGTGAATTGTGCTTTCAAGTCTTCTAATCGACTTAAAACTGTTCGTTGTTGTTCATTTTTCTCAAATTCCCACAACCTAAGTGGTTGTGTGGTTGTTGTTTGAACTTGTGGTAATGATTGAGAAAGTGGTAATAACTGTGAAGGTTGTATTGTATTGCTTAGTGTGTTATTAACATTGGCGGCCGACGTGTTGTAATTTCCCATAACTCTCTCCTCGAGCATTTCTTTGTCTTTTGGAGTTGTTCCATTCTTGTTTTTCAACGTGGCCATTTTCTCTTTAAATTGGAACTCATTAGTCACACAGCCGGGTGCTACATCCAGTCTTGCCATCATACTCATATCGAGGGTCATAGGAGAACGACACTTTGTCACATTCTTTGTTGTAAACAGCTTCAATTTCAATTGACCGATATTTGGCATTTTTGGTAGTGTTTTCAGCTTTAATGGTGCGTTGTTTTCATTGTTGAACTGAAGTGCTTTTACTGATGGTGGAAACAACACTTTTTTGATCACACATCCTCCAAAATAAATTTGCAGCAATGAGTCGCATCTAGTCAAGTCCATTTCAAGACAGTCTCCATGTAAAAAGCATTTTTTCATAAAGAGAACCTTCAAGCGTGGCATCTCCAAAGCACCTCTTTTCTCTTCAACACCTTCCAGAGTCAGTTTTTCTAAACTTGGCAACGATGGTGGTAATCTATTGTATACAAGTTCTTTTAAATTGACAAGTTGGCTCAAATTCTCAAGCCTATTGTGTTTGCTCTCCAGTGCTTTCAAACTGATTGGTAGTCGTATCATGTTTTGGGTCAAACACACTTTTAAGACCAAATTGTACAAATTCACTTGAGTCAAGTCCCTCACTTGTGCTTGTTCACTTGTGTTGACCCAGTAATTGTCTTTGTCAAGTGAAAACCCTCTTTTTCTCTCCGACATTTCATCCATTGTAAATCCACACGTTTTATCTTC